CAACGCCACTTTCTTCCGCTCATTTCCTGGCGACTATATCTCTGGAGATAGAAAAGGACCTAAATTAGCTAATTCTATCTCGTTATCCTGGGCCTAATTTGATAAGTGAAACAACAAGCTTACGCAATTCTTAGCTGTGTCGTGTAAGCATAAGAGCCTAAAGCAGACGCATGCTCGTGTACGCATAAGAGCCAAAAGCAACCCAATTTCACTTAGTCTCTCGATCCTTAAGCCATTGCTAATAAAGACTTGCAGATTATACTAAGTTATTTTTGCTATGAGTCCATGCGACCACATCAAGTGCGTGTATTCGTATTCCTGTTTTATGAAACTAAGCCCTGATTTACCTTATCGCAAGTTACTTGTACTGGTGTTTCATAATGCTTGAGGCCCTAGTCTGGTGCAGTTTGCTAAGTGTTGCCCGGTGTCGCCTTCTACTCGGCTCCAGCCTCCAGCTTGGGATTTTTAGGATCGCAGGATCCGGTGTAACCCGCTCATTCCGAAACAATTTAGGGAAAATCATGCCGCTGGGCTGACTACAAGCGATTCGCACTGGCTCGATCGATTTCAGCGACGTGTTCCACAGGAAATTGAGTGGGTTTTGAACTGAGAGAACCATCAAAGATCATCCACTGCACTTCACAGTCATGAACTTTTAAAGATTTAAGAATATCCCCTGTTTTTTTAGCAGCTTAACGCCAAAAAACTTGCGTAGACTATTTGTTGCAGACTATTTCGAGGTCACCCAGACATTCACGACACCATAAAAACGTTACGCAAATGCTGCCATCTCAGTGGCCGTGCAGTGCTCAAGCCTCGAGGCCAAGACCAAAAATACGATCGCCGAATTACTGCTGTCTGACGTACGTCAGCACGACAATGGCATCGATGGCCCTCAGTTGTTCTCGGTCAGTTGATTATTGAGTACAAGTTTGAACACGAAGCACGCTTTGTGCTACATACATACAGGAAATCGGGCGATGGTTACGAGTTATGGCAGAGTAAGACCATGGAGTAAAATGAGCTAAGAATAGCACCACAATGAGGCATGCGAATGCGAGTAAACAACGCAAAATAATGAAAAAATATGCAAGAACCACACGAAAAAGGGCCATACACGCTCACATCACGAAAGTCGGGTTTCGAAAACCACGCACCAGCACGCGTAGTGCCACTTATGGGTAGGTTGAATTACTACACAGTGAGTCAGCCCGTCTGCTGCAGTGGCAACTCTGGTACAGCCATCTGGCATTGACTCCGACGTAGTACAAACGGTCTATGACGTAATCCCAAACTGTGAAGCAGCGAGGATCTTATTCACTGAGCAGCGAAGTGTTGTGTGCTAGAGCAGTCTTGCACTTGAAGGCATATCAATAGTTGTACGTGAGTTGATTTTATCGCATTTGATGTTTGTCTTAATATCTTCAAACGTGAACATTTCTTTACGAATGTTGGCTACTTCATGAAATACCTAAAGCAAACAACCCAAAAGCAAAGCTAGCATGTATGGAGTCGTCCTCAGCTCTATCTGATCCTGAAGCTGACATGAAAACTTGACTTGACTAAAGCTGAATCTTAATTGTCTGTTATCAGCTCACAAGTTCCTTCACTCGACACGTGTCCCCTCCGTGTCCCTCGCCCAGGCTGGTCCTCAGTCCTACCTTCAGCTGCTCTACAGCCATCCTCCAGTCACTGCTGCCGTCCTCGGTCCGTCCCGGTCCCCTCGGTCCGCCCTCTGCCCCTCCCTCCCTCCCCGTCTACAGCCAGCCTGCAGTCACTGTCTACAGCCAGCCATCCAGTCACTGCTGACGTCCTCGGTCCGTCCCGGTTCCCATCGGTCTGCCTCCTGCCCCTCCTCAGCCCCCCTCCCCCCCCCCCCCCCATCCCCCGTCTACAGTCAGCCTGCAGTCACTGCTGTCGTCCTCGGTCCGTCCCGGTCCCCTCGGTCCGTCTCTGCCCCTCCCCAGGCCCCCTCCCTCCTTCCCCGTCTCGGGCCAGTGTGTCAGATCGTCTGTGTCGACGGAGCTGTCCGCCCGGGACCAGCTCTCGGCCCCGCCCCACAAATCTGGCCGCCCGTGCCGGGCGCCGCCGTCAATAAACATCTCTCAGCCGTGTGCAGGCCGGGCAGTAACTCGGCTGGCTCCGCCGGCCCCGCCGATCTATGGCGTCCGTTAGCGTCTCGGCGGCTGGCGGGACGACCTGCCACAGGGCCGGGCCACAAGTCGGGCCAGCGCAGACCGGAAGTGACCGCATCCGGGCCGCGGCGGCATCCGCGCGCCGGCAGTGCCGAAGTCGCCGTGGTCGCAGCCGCAGCGAAGTGCGTCAGGTGGCGCATTTTCTGACCGGGGCCGGGAAGAAGTGATGCAAGTGCTATGAGAGCAACGTGCGGAGAAAGAAATATCGATAAAGTTAGGTATCGCCAAGACTTTTTGAAACCAAACGGTTAAAATGCCTCTCGTTCAATATTGCCTATTGAGTTGCCGACTGGCTTTTCCGTATGTTGTTTTAAATTCATCATTTAATGGTTAATGGACATCAGGTTGTGGATAAGAGTCCATAGTTCACACGCATGTGCGCCTGTCATCTCACTTCTGGTGGCTCCAGTAGCCGGTCGGCCGGCGCCCGCCGCATGGAGGCTCGGTTTCATCAGGCTGTTCCTGCCGACTCTGGGAGCGACGCCGGCCGGTAATGGCTGACCTGTGTACCAGGCCACAGCGTGCGGTCGGGCCGGCAAACAGCCCCTGTCGCCAGGACCCCGCCGTCAGCGGCGGCGAGTCAGCGGCCGAGTGTCAGTCGGTCGCCCTCGGCGCTGCAGGTCAGGTCGCTCAGGTGCGGCCCGTCGCAGGGTCAGTGCTGAGACGCCGTCGCGCGGACCGGCGGGCCGGCCAGCGCAGACCAGCGCGACCTCGGCCGCCGGCGCGGCCGTCAGTGACAGAGGAGGTCGGCAGGACGGAGCGGATGCTCTCGCTGCCGCCGACTCCTCCCCGCCGCGCCGCCGTTAGCCGGCGCTGACAGGTGTGTACAGGACGCTGATTGTTTGTTTACGGCAAGGGCCCGCCGCGGTGGTCCAGCACGCCCGGCGGCCGCACGGAGACCGCCGGACAGCGCCCTGAGCATTGTCAGCGCTACCTCGGTCGCAGTGTTCTCATTCTGCAGCCGCTTATCGAATCAGCCCGTCCTCTTCAAACAGCTCTGGCATCGCTGACCTGTTGACATCGACCCTATCCATCAACTAACTCAGCGCACTCTCCCGCTCCGGCAAGACCGACGGTGCCGCGCATTGCGGCCACTCTGATCCGAGTCCGTCACGACTTCTAGGTCCCTGGCGTCACAGTCCGTCACATCTTCTAGGTCTTGACTTGACTCTGAAGCACATGAACGCTCGCTCTTGAGAACGAAGACCCTGTCGCTGGGCAGAAGCAAACGATTGGCCGACCATTCAGAAGTCTTGACTTCGATAAATTAAAAGGCACGTCGAGTGAGCATTTCCACAACGTACACAGTGTCTACACTCCACCCTCCAGACGTCGACAAACAGCGTTCTCAAAGCTTAAGACTGAACGGGATACGACCACGGCGTGATGCTCAATCTCAATGATCCGTGATGATCTCAAATTTCGTCCGAGTTCTGTGCGCGTATGCAGGCGCCGCTGTACTTCAAAGTATCTGCACGTCGGAGTCCAGGTGAGACAGGGGTCCTCGCCGTCGACCCGCGTGGCGCACACTTCCTCCAAAGTGACGAACGACACCGGTGGGTGCGTTCTCTGCCGGGCCCCACTCGCGTCGTGGCGCGAGAAGGCAAGAACGGACACGATCGATAACAAATACAAACGCCCGTGTTATCCAGAGGGGGCCGAGGAAGGGTCGGCGGCCATTACGCGGTTATTGCCGACTGCTGTTGTGATTGGGCTCGGCAGGGCACGCCGGATAGAGGCTGCGCTGGTCGGAGGAGCACGGACTGATAGCCGGATTCACGCCCTTCGCCCCCGGCTCCGACCAACGCGGGAGCGCGGCGTGCGGGCGCAGGCCTGCTGTCTCGTCTGGAGCGGGGCTCGCAGTGTGTCGCAGGAATCGATGTGCTGAGGTTATGCGTGGAAGATCACAGTGTGTGCCGGGAGCTGCTTCACTGACGTCTTCTCTGGAAGGGCTGACGGTGCGATGCAGGGGCTGAGTTGTTCAGGTCATCCGGGGACGTGCTGACAGTGTGCTGATGGTGCTAACATGCCGAGGACGCCCGTGGAATAGGTCCCACCGTGAAGCGTGCAGCACTGGCAGCTTCTGGAAGGCGAGTTCTGTATGCCGAAAGCGAAAAGTGCTCGACTATCCCAGTGGTCTGTCAGAAAGCCGGCCTCTGCAGGACGTCCCGAGGGTCGGTGAACAGCAGCTGGTTTCTGCAGGACGTCCCGAGGGTCGGTGAGCAGCAGCTGGTTTCTGCAGGACGTCCCGAGGGTCGGTGAACAGCAGCTGGTTTCTGCAGGACGTCCCGAGGGTCGGTGAACAGCAGCTGGTTTCTGCAGGACGTCCCGAGGGTCGGTGAACAGCAGCTGGTTTCTGCAGGACGTCCCGAGGTTCGGTGAGCAGCAGTTGATACACGCAGCATCGCCTAATGCTGTCCGGAAGGCCCTGACGTCACGCTAAAGATGAGAGCTGGCGTACCTCACCGGCCCGGCCTAGCGAGGGCCGACGCGCTGGACCTGGCTGACGAGGAGGCGGGCTGTGCCCCGGCGTGCGGTGGCCCCTGCGAGGGAACCTGCGCTACCGAGCTGGCCGATGGCCCGGGCCGGCAGCGGCCTCCGAGCGGCGCTCTCTGCCCACCAGACGAGGGCGGCGGCCCCGGTGGAGGTCACCGGTCCCCTGGCGCCCCCTGCCGGCCCGCTGCCCGCCGGAGACGTCTCTCCAGCCCTGCACCAAGTCCGCGCCCGATCAAGTGCAGCCCGGGCCGTGGTGTCTCTCAAGAGCGGGGCGAACGGCGGCCGAGCTGGCGGAGCCCTCAGCACACCATGGAGCTGAAGGTGGACCTCCAGCGCTCCGGAGCGGTGCTGAGGCCGGCAGAGCCGGCGCGCCGGCCGCCCCTCCTGCGCTCCCAGACGGTAGCGCTGAGCGCCGCCCGGCTGAGTGCGACCGCCGACACCCACGGCCGGTCCATGTCGATGCCGGCGGCCGCTGGCGGCACCCTGCCGCCGCTGCACCACCTGCCCGACCAGACGGTGCAGGGCATGCACACGCACTACTACCCCGAGGGCGGCTGGGGCTGGTGCGTGATGGTCGGCGCGGCGCTGCTGCACCTGGCGCCGGCCGGGCTCCAGCTGGGTTACGGCGCCCTCTGCGCGGCCGTGCTGCGCCGCTTCCTGGACGGCGAGCGGCAGCCCGAGCCCCAGCAGGTGTCCGCCGCAGGTCAGTTAGCTGCCTCCGCACGCCCAAGGCGTGGAGCGGCGTGATCGCTCCACACGGAAGCCAAATAGGCCGGGTGAAACTATTGGCAGCGCGTGAACTCTCTTTTTGTCGGAGGTAAATATGAATCTGATGGTGCAGCATGGAAACATTTCCTTCAGAACGCGGTTCGGCCGACTTCCTCTCCAGAAACGTTTGCACAGTGCAAAAACGTGACTCTCATTTGGAATGAGTGACGTCGTAAAAATATAAGCCTGAAATGATCCAAATGTCAATCCATTTCAGAGTCGAGCGGCGCAACCATAACCTACCATGTGCCGTATTTTGGAGCCTTAACAATGAGCTGCTTGCCATAAATGCATCTGAATCTTTCGCTGGAAAGTTGAATGTCGTAATAGTGATGTCCTGACACTACATTCGCGATTGATCAGGGCTTTATTGCCACGAGAGCTGTTGTGCACTACTCCAGGTAATTCACAGCAGCAAATGTGGAACATTGCGTGCGTGCAGCAGGGTGAACATAAGCCGTATTTATCGTTTATATAAATGTACAATTCAAATTTCGTGCGCAACAACAAATGCTATTCTCTGCGCCAGCCAACGCACAGCAGGTTATGAAGAATAATGCTTGTGATTTTGCATACATTACAGTGCTTAGTTATATATATATATACATATATATATATATATATATATATATATATATATATATGTGTGTGTGTGTGTGTGTGTGTGTGTGTGTGTGTGTGTGTGTGTGTGGTGTGTGTGTGTGTGTGTGTGTGTGTGTGTGTGTGTGTGTGTGTGTGTGTGTGTGTGTGTGTGTGTGTGTGTGTGTGTGTGTGTGTGTGTGTGTGTGTGTGTGTGTGTGTGTGTGTGGTGTGTGTGTGTGTGGTGTGTGGGTGTGGGTGTGGGTGTGGGGTGTGTTTGTGTGTGGGTGTGGGTGTGTGGATTTACATTGCAATATATTAGTTTACGTCAGTCTACATGTAGGAATGAGGGTATGATTTTTTAGGATTTGGTTGAAGTTAGATATGGATCAAAGCCGTATATGCGCTGACGCGAGGTACTGGCCCAAATACAGCCAGCGTGCTGACGCGGGGGGACTGACCCAAATACAGCCAGCGTGCTGACGCGAACGAATTGACCCAAATACAGCCAGCGTGCTGACGCGGGGGACTGAGCCAAATACAGCCAGCGTGCTGACGCGGCGGACTGGCCCAAACACAGCCAGCGTGCTGACGCGGGGGACCGACCCAAATACAGCCAGCGTGCTGACGCGGGGGACTGAGCCAAATACAGCCAGCGTGCTGACGCGGCGGACTGGCCCAAACACAGCCAGCGTGCTGACGCGGGGGACCGACCCAGATACAGTCAGCGTGCTGATGCGACGAATTGACCCAAATACAGCCAGCGTCCTGACGCGGTGGACCGACCCAAATGCAGCCAGCGTGCTGACGCAGCGGACTGGCCCGTGTACAGCACGCTGTATGAGGAGGCAGCAGGTGGACTGGCCCGTGTACAGCCAGCGTGCTATGGAGAGGTAGCCTGCTTTGCAACGTGCACAACGTGCCCAACGTGTGCTTTAATAGGAGACATAATAGACGTTCCATATAAATAAAGAGCACAATGCAGCGCAAGCCTGAATGATGGATTATCTACACCTGAGTGACCGGTCATTGTAACAGCGCTTTGGTAACGAAATGTATGGCGTGTGGATCGCATTCAAATGCGCATAACCCGCTGTGTGCTAGGGTTCTCTTTCCCTGCTTCCCCTTTCAGTCGGGAAGGGGACTAAACGCCGCTACCGTTGATTATTTTGGAACCAATCAGCCGTCTGGTTGTATCAATTGTCCAAAGGTAGAGGTCTCTAACTCGCACACGTCCAGCAGATGCCGCTTAGTTGTAACCTGCAAGCCATTGATGACACCACAGACCATGTCGCAAGTCGCGATCTTTGGAAGCTTTTTTCTGGGTCGGACATCCATTTAATCATCTCAGCCATGCGACTTACTAAAGCTGAAATGAGTTAGACATGAATTATGTTATACCGTACACGCGAACACATCTATGGACACAGTGCCACTGAAGGTCAGACCACATTGAAACATTTGTACGACTACATGCTTCAATTCACCTGCGCCATGTCACTTCGGCGTTGCCACGTAGTGTGGGAATCATAGGTGTGGAAAGCATTTCAATACATTATCCATCTTAAAGATCTGTCGTGTGACATATTCACCTCTAAGGTTATTCCCAATCAGCACACCCAATACAACGCAGACGTATTTGGGGGGGACCAGTTTAGGAAAGCTGTATCTAATGATCATTCAGGCACTGCCCGACGATTAAAATGTGTTGTCGACGATTTGCACATAACATAGCACGACCTGTGATCAACTGCAGCTGGAATTCCTATCATAAGCCCACGTCACGCAATGTGACTAAAAGGCAAGATGCAGTTCCAGCGCATCATGCGTGAACGCAACACAGACACTGAAGCTAAGGAACGCGTTCAGAGTTTCCCTGTAAAGCGACATTTTAACGTAATGCATGACTACTTTGGTCTTAAGATGGGTTATATTAACAGAACGAAGTCCCAATGTAGCGAGCAGAGACATAAAAAATCGTTAGTCCATTTGGTTAACAGAGGACTGGTGAAGGTGCCACCGTGTTGCCACGTGGGATGAGTTGACCAATTAAACCGTTGTGAGCAAATGCTATCTTATATGCCAACCACAGCTTTTGAATCGTATGTAGGTATTAAGCAGGCCGGCAAGCTGCAATAGGTTGCTTCTTCCGGTTAATCTTATCACGCCATCTTTGCGTGACTTACGGTTACCACAGCCCAAACTCTAACCACGGGTTTTTATCTTTTAGGTGCACAGCAAATATATTTTTTGTAGTCGTGGTCATTTCGGATTTATTGTGGAACAAAAGTGAAGAAGTACAAAACTTTCAGCAAAGGATGGGTAGTCGAACATACCTTATCGAACATATTTAATGTTATCACACCTTCTATAGCTAGCACAGGGTCACAAGGTCATGGTCGTGATGCATGCAAGTACTGCATGAGCCTTACCAATCTTTTTCTTCTTCTTCTAACCGAGCCAAATGATTTTTGCCGTGAACAAGGTGCATGACTTACTAAACATGTGCAACACATAAACAGTCGCTGGGACTTTCGACTGAAGATGTCGAAAGCTCTGCTCAGCTGCTTATCAACATGTCTATGTCTGAAAAATAGCTCACGCACTCAGCCTGCGCGAGAACACACTAATGTCGGTGATGTCAAATCCTCCCATAATGCAGTAAGACCGAATATTTTGTTGAGTGACCGTACTGATGATTCTCGCTTGTTATTTCAAAACGTCGAGGCACAGGACGGTCCGCTTTGGCAGACCAGTTGTGCGAACAGGACAGACGGCCTAAAGCGCTGCACACTGGCGCAGTTTACCAAACAAACGTCTGTCTGTCCTGAACGCAGCGTGTAAGGTTGGCGCCGGGTTCGCTTCATGAGAGAGCTCCTCCCCTCCCATTGCAATATTGGAGAAGGAGGCTAAGTAAGAGCTTAAAGTGCAAGACGTATGACTGACCACTAATGAATCTGATCGGTGGAAACCTATGCAGAGCGCCGACCAACAGCTAACGTCCGAATTGTGCCAACCTTCCTTTAAAACGCAAGCCAAGACGTCAACGTGTGCGAATGAAAACTGATGGCACCGTGAATATATAGCGCATACATGACTCAGAAACACACAGATATCCAACAACAAATGGTACAAATGACCGGATTCATGACGCTTAGGGCCATGGTTTCGACATTTTGGCCTCGACTCGGGCAGAAATCGTGGAGTTCTTTATAACGCTGCCTTTTATAATTGGGAACGACCCCAGCTAATCATAGATGTAGCAGCCAGATATTGGGCGCTCGCGGTTTCTGGGACGCGAGCTTAAACGTAGGTGACACGTTGGTCCGATCGCTCGCTTTGTTGCGTTTTATGGACGGAGCAAAGTGATCAGCATCATGCCGTCATCATGAGAATCATCGCGTTCATCAGCAACATACGGTCTGGCGTAGAGACAGACTATCATGAGATACGTTGTTCAGGACGCGTCTTATAAATAAGGAAAGGGAAAAGAAAATGACAATGGGGAGCAAGCAGTGAAACAAGAGGAATAACCAGGAAATACTACTGATTCGGTCTTTCAGCAACATGTTTTCATGTCAAGCAATGCCTACGCTAAAAAAGGTGGTACGGAAAGGTGATGTGAAGAATCGCGTACGTAAAGGAATGTGTTACGAAAAATTGCATGGACGGAGAAATGTGTTATGAAGAATTGCGCATCGAAGAAGTGCGATGCGAACAGTTCTATATGCAAAGTTTAGCGGATAGCAATACGCGGACAATAGCTTGGGTACAATTGTTGGGGTTTCTTACGAAGTTTTGAGGACAGAGAACTGCAACACACACGAAGTTATGCCTGCGATGAAAAGCATTACGACAAAATGCGATATGTATTTTTTCTGGTGACGCACCGCTGCAGCACTCAAGGCTAAAAATGTAATAGAACTTCAGACAAAAGGGAGGAGTCTGAAAGACATTTGTATGTTAATCGGCATAAGGGAGCTCTGAGACAGCGAATGGCGATCCCTGGACAGGGACAGGGTCTCGAAGCTCATTTCATTGTAATAACTCAATACAAAAATAGCGCCGCACATGCGGTATGGTTGAAATGTAAAACAATTGCGGTTTGTCACTTCGTACTCTGCCGTCGATACTGCCGATGGATAATAAAAAATTGGTGTCTTTCTGGGCGGCGTTCTCCCCACTTTCCATATCAACCAGCGTGCATGCACGCCTG